GTCTGCAAGCCTGTCCACTGGCCCCCAGAGATCAATCCTTAACCCTGCCAGGGAGAGGAGTGCTGTTCTCGAGTCACCGACATGGTGCCCAAGCTGGATCCTTGTCTCTCCCCCTCGGGATTTGCCTGACTCTCCTGGAGTCACCAGGCAAGCAGTACCTGGGAGGGCTGTGGGTATGGAGCTCACAGTCTGAGTACCCCTCATTCCTTTGTAGGGCCCCAAAAGGAAAGGTTCAGTTGCCTGCAGATTCCTCCAGGTGATGGCTAAATTGTCTCCCTCAGCTGCCACGGATAGGGAAGCGGAAGGGGAGAATGAAGCAATATGGTGCCTGCTGATTGGCTCGGGTTTGGAAGGCGGGAGGTGCCCTGAGGGAGCTGCGAGCCTGGTGCCCTGTCTACAGGAGGCTCATTGCTCACTGGCAGCAGCCGTCTGTGGGCTGATGTTGGCAGGTCTTTCTAACTGCTCAGGAGCCCATCAGCAGTCTGAGATGCAAGGGAGGGGAAATTTAACCACTCCACCTACCCTTGTCACTGGTCTCCAAGCCTCTCAGGGGCCTTTCTCCTTCTAGTTCTCCTCCGCAACTTCTTCCCATGGAGTTTCCTATATTTTCAGGCACCCTTCCTTCCAACCCTCATCTGATCTGTGTTTGTCTGCCTGTTTATTTTTTTTCACTTTCTTCTAAAATCTGTCTTTCTTGCAGAGACACTCTGGCTGGTGGTTTTATGTCCGCCATTTTGCCCCTCTGAATTATACCTTTTTAATGGGTGTGGGTTTTATGATATTTTTTGTTATATGAATAGGTCGTGGTATACACATTGCTCTGCAATGTGCTCTTTTCTCTTAAGAATAAGTCTTAATAATCTTTCCATGTCAACATAGATCTACTGCCTTCTTCCAGACTGTTGCAGGATATTCCATTATGTGAATATCCTCTTTGTTTAGTTAACCAACTCCTTTGATGGACCTGATCTGTTAATTTTCCCTCAAGTGAGATGATATAATTTGCACATATTTAGCTCATTTCTTCTTCTGTTTTTAGTTAAAATAATTTAGATTTTCAGTTCTAGATTATTATTGTTTAATACATTATCTTCTATATGAATAATTATTTTTGATGTTTTTAGCTGTAAGCCTATTTTCCTTAATTTTGTCTGGTATATTTTGAGTCCTATCAATCTAAAAGTTTGATCTTTTTTGATACAGAGAAATTTTTATCTGTTATTTCTTTCGCATTATTACCCTTCTGCCTTTTCTCTGCCTTTGTGTGTGTGTGTTTGTGTGTGTGTGTATCTCCAGAATCTATTCCCGATGTCTCTCAAGTTTTCATTTATTATCTTCAACTTTCTCTTACCTATTAGTTCTGGGCGAATTTCTTAAAGTAGTAGGCTTTGGAATAATTGATTCATTTTTTGGCCGTATCTAATATGCCGTCCACTGCCTCTGTTACATTTTAAAAATTAAGTAATTGTATCTTCATCAGAAACCAGTCCTTCTGGATCCCAAAGTGTTCTCTTTTCATAGATTCAGTGTCCTCTCAGGTATTGTTTAGAGTATACTTTTTTTTAAAAAATTCGCTAATCCATTTATTAAGACATTACTGTGTGCCAGGGATTTGTAGGAGAATCATGGTTGAAGGAATCCATATCAATATCCAATATGATTTTAAGAAACTATTATTTAAAATGGCAGTGAAAGCTCAAAGAACTCAAGCAAGTCAGCAAGAAAAAAACAAACACCCTTATTATAATAAAAAGTGGGCAAAAGACATGAACTGGAGCTTCTCAAAAGAAGAAAGACAAATGGCCAATAAACATGAAAAAATGCTCAACATCACTAATCATCGGGGAAATGCAAATTAAAACCACAATGAGATATCACCTTACCCTAGTTAGAGTGGCATTTATCAAAAAGTCTAAAAACAATAGATGCCCGCATGGATGCAGAGAGAAAGGAACACTTACACACTGTTGGTGGGACTGCAAATTAGTACAACCTCTATGGCAAACAGAATGGAGATTCCTCAAAGAACTAAAAGTAGACCTACCATTCGATCCAGCAATCCCACTATTAGGTATTTACCCAAAGGAAAAAAAGACTTTTCATCAAAAAGACACCTGCACTTGAATGTTTATTGTAGCACGATTCACAATTGCAAAGATGTGGAATCAACCTGAGTGCCCATCAATTCATGAGTAGATTAATAAAATGTGGTATATGTACCGTGGAGTACTTCTCAGTCTTATAAAAAGAGAGTATACTTTTTAAAAGTTTATTCCAGTTTTTTGGAGTGAAATAGTTTCATAGGTAGACACTTGCTCTGATTCCTCAGAATGTATCTCCTTTAAAAACTACTTGTTCTTTTTCATGTATCTGATTGATTTTCTCTGTTTATTCATCTTTTTGGAAGATAGTCTTTGAGTTTTGGAATTTGAGATGGGTTTTATCAGATTTGTCTCCTAGTTTGAGACTAAGAGTAAGCTATATGTTCTATAGTTTTGATTAATTTATCACTTCCCTTTTGTTTCTTCTTACCCATCTCCAGATGAGGAAAATAGTTATTTAGAAAGAATTGGAAGAGTCCTCTAGCTAGAGACATTTTTGAGGGAGGAGAGAATCTTGCTACTGTGCTGAAGGGCTTCTTACCCACATTTGTTGTAACTGCTTGAAATTACCCAGAGCACTGACACTCTTCTCTAATGGCACAAAGACCCTAATTTGGAGCCTGATATTGAGAAAATGGAAAACCATATCATGTGAATTATAGTTAGAGGAAGTCAAGTTATTTGGTCTAGAGTGGGAAAGATTTATAGGAGATGTAATAACTGCCTTCAGTAGCTAAAGAGTTGTCACAAGAATGATTAGACTTGTTACTTGTAGTTCCAAGTGGTAGAATTATGTTAGAAGGATATTGTCTTACCTTCTTGGAAGGAAGGTTACTGTAATTGACACAGCGGCTGATTTAAATATTTGTTGACTCCAAATTTCAGCCATTCATTCAGATACAACCCTCACATTTAGATGTTACCACTTGATACCAACATGCATGCACAAGTGGCCACGTGCCTATGTGAGGTACTAGAAGGAGGCTTCTATAAGTACTGGCTGTGTCATTTGCTCACAGAGGTATTATCCTCCAAGAACTGCTGCTTTCCATTCCTACCCTCTTTTATTTTTATTTTTTATAATTACCTGACCTCAATTTCTGGATACTTAAGGTGGTAGTTATTACCTTTCATCTGCATGAACTCTTCCCATCCCTTTCTCTTGACATCCCTTTAGACAGTTTTGTAGGCAGAATAAAATATCCATGTCCTAATCCCCAGAATTTGTAAATATGTTACCTTGCATGGTAAAGGGGAATTAAGGTAACAGATGGAATTAAGGTTGTTAATCAATTTAAGTTAGAGCAATTATCCTAGATTATCAGAGTAGGCCCAATGTAATGACAAGAATCCTTAAATGTAGAAGAGGGAAGCAGAGGATAATGTGATGTGAGAAAGACTTGGCTGGCTATTGCTGGCTTTGAAGGTGGAAGGGGTCACAAACCAAGGAATGTGGGCTGCCTCTAGAAGGTAGAAAAAGCAAGAAAATGGATTCTCTACTAGAACTTCCAGAAAGGAACACAGCCCTGCTGACACCTTGATTTTTAGCCCAGTGGGACCCATTTGGGACTTCTGACCTCCAGATCTATAATATAATGAATTTGTATTGTTTTAAGCCATTAAGTTTGTGATAATTTATTATAGCAGCAATAGGAAACTAATACAGATTTCTGAGAAGATCCAAAGCCATATTCCAGGAACAGTAAGAACTGTTTCTTGGTATTTCTGTTAGTCAGAAACTTAATGTGTGTATTGATGAACCGTTGTATTCAACCATCTGATAGTCATTTGTTTATGCAAATATACCTCCGTTTCTCCAATGTTTCTCTTTAACCTACTTTTTGGTCATCTAGGTTCTAGTCAATAAGAGTAGCCTGTACAAGAAGTGGCCCAATGAGGTGAAGCTTACAGGGAGGGTAATGCCACTCAGTATAAGGAAGAATTTCCTGTTAAATCCATTCAAAGATTGGGTTGTATTTGGAAGTTTGTATGGCAGGAACTACACAACTGTTTCATGGAGATGTTAAAGAGAGTATTCATGCATTGGTTGAGGTGTTGGACTAGGACAGATTTTATGGTTCTTAAATTTTGAGAACCTGAGGGCTTGTGAGAAAGAAGTATTACTGAGGATCTGGTGGGACCCCTGTGTACAGATATGCAAATTGTGCCTACACAAGGCCTCCAGCCAAAGCAGCCAATGGAATCCAGCTCGCACTTCATTTGGAAGCTGTACATTCTGCCTATGGGGCTTCTGTGCCCTGAGGCAGAGGCAACCTTTGGCTAATTCATATAAAGGTATTATCTACATTTACCAAAAGATGTATGCTTGAAGGGCTACATTCACCCAAAGAAGGCACTTTTTTTCTAATTCGCACAAAGGGGCTGGATGGGCCAACATAAACCCAGCACTTCTAAATGGTGCTATTGGTACATTCTCCCAACTGATATATTCTAATAACATATCTAGTTGGGAGGAGAAACTAATGAATGAATAAACTAGTAAATCTCTGTATTTCAGAGCCAAATAAATATGATCTCTTTTGGGAGTTAATTGTATAAGTTAGTAGCAAATGGGGAAAGCAAAAATCTAAATATTAGAGATTAAGAGGAGAGGGTATGTCTACTCAAGGTGTTCACAGAGAATCCAGAACATCTCTCTCTGATTTGTAAGGCTGGTCATCTACCCATATATGTAAGGATAAATAATGCCAGGGTCTTCAAAGGCACAGGAGATATACATGGGCACCTGGCTGAAGCAGTTTCTGCATTCCTAGCTGAGTCCCAGCTGGCCAAGACTGTACTTGATGCTGCAGACAGTCCAGGTAGCTAGATACATCTGGAGGTGGCTATAGAGCTGGACAATACACAGATTTCTGCCCTTTTTATGTATTCCTTCAGATATGCCTTGGGATGAATCACGAGACCCTGTACTTGGCAGTGAAGCTGGTGGATCACTACCTAATGGAGGTAGTATGCAAGAAGGATAAGTTACAACTCCTTGGTTGTGCTGCTTTTCTGATTGCAGCAAAATTCGAGGTGAGCCTGAGTCCCTAAGTCCTGGAGAGAACTAATCAGATTTCTATCTAAAACGGTGAATGGATATTATACAGTTATGTGCTGTGTAACAACCTTTCAGTAAATGATGGACTGCTTATAGGACCATGGTCCCATAAGATTATAATGGAGCTGAAAAATTTCTATGCCTGGTGACATCTTAGCTATTGTTACATTGAAACGCAAGGCATTACTCATGTGTTTATGGTGATGCTGGTGTGAACCTGTACTGCCAGTCACATAAAAGTATAGCACATACAATTATGTGCAGTACACAATACTTGATAATAAATGACTATGTTACTGGTTTATGTATTTACTATGCTATACTTTTTTTCCTTATTTTAGAGTATATTCCTTCTATTTATTAAAAAAATTAACTGTAAAACAGCCTAAGGCAGGTCCTTCAGGAAGTATTCTAGAAGAAGGCGTTGTTATCATAGGAGATGACAGCTCCATATCTGTTATTGCCCCTGAAGCCCTTCCAGTAAGACAAGATGTGGAGGTGGAAGACAGTGGTATTGATGATCCTGACCATGTGTAGGCCTAGCCTGATATGTGTGTCTGTGTCTTAGTTTTTAACAAAAAAGTTTAAAATGTAAAAAAAAATTTAAATAGAAAAATCTTATATAGTAAGGATATAAAGAAAGAAAATATTTTTGTACAACGGTATAACGTGTGTGTGTTTTAAGCTGTTATTACAGGAATCAAAAAATAAAAAAATTAAAGTTCATAAAATAAAAAAGTTACAGTAAGCTAAGGTTAATTTATTATTGAAGAAAGAAATTTAAAAAAATAAATTTCATGTAGCCAAAGTGTAGCGTGTTGATAAAGTGTACAGTAGTGTACAGTAATGTTCTAGGCCTTCACATTCACTCACCACTCACTCACTGACTCACCCAGAGCAACTTTCAGTCCTGCCAGCTCAATTCATGATAAGTACCTTATACTGGTGTACTGTTTTTTATCTTTTATACTGTATTTACTGTAACTTTTCTGTGTTTAGCTATATTTAGATACACAGATACTTAGCATTGCATTACAATTACCAGTGGTATTTAGTATAGTAACATGCTGTACAGGTTTATAGCCTAGGTGTGTAGTAGGCTATACCCTGTAGGTTTGTGTGAGTATACTCTATGATGTTCAGACAAGGATGAAAGTGACACATTTCTCAGAACGTATCCCTGTCATTAAGCGATGCATGACTGTGTATTTATTCATACATACACATATACACATATATGTATGTATACATTTGTGTATACAATTACATACAAACATACAAATAATTTTTTCCTACCAAATTTTTTGTCTGTCTTCCTAAAGCGAGGAAGCTGGTGTTGGTTGGCAATGGTAGTATAATAGCTCTCTGGCATCAGCAAGGTTTTTTCATTTCCTCTTTGAAGGTGTGTTATGTGGGCATGTGCCTAATTAAATGGGTAGTTCTTTTTAAAGCTTCTTTCTGGTCCATGATTATCTGCCTCCCCTCTTTTCTTGTTCCAACAACTCTATCCCCATCTGGTGGAGTCTTGGTCTGCTTATATAAAAAAGCATTTCCAAACTAGGGTGATGGACACATTTAAGATAAAATAGCTTGGTATAGATGGTAGTGAGTCTAAACGGTCCAGGTGAAATAGTAATTTTGAAAGTAGCAATATAAAAGCCAGTAGCTAGGTTTTTCTTCACAACCATAATCCATCTAGGTAACCTCTCTGATTCTTTCTTCCTCCCTAGGTGCTAACTGATCTTGTTGATCTTGTTCAACTTTCATTTTTCCTTCAGCTGTGCTAGTTGTATAAAACCTTAGGGTTTGGGTGCAGAGAGGTAGCAACTTTTACAAAGGAGTTCAAAGAGCTGTGGGGACTGGGGGTTTGTTTTTTGTTGGCTCCCTCCTTTCACCCACCTTGCCCCCATGGGTTCGCTGCCCCCCGCCTTGCTTGCTCTGTCCCTTCTTTCCTTCTCCTTCTCTCCTCTCCCTTCCTTCCCCTCCCTCCTTCCTCTCCCTCTGTCCCTCCTCAGATTGCTGGCCCCTTCCCTCCCTCCTGCCCTCCCTAATGTGTTCCCTCCCTAGCTCATTCCCTCCTTCCTTTCCTTCCTACCTTCCTTTCCCTGCTTGTTTGCCTCCCCTTACTACCCTCCCCACCTCACCTACTCCTTCACTGCCCCCTTACTCTGGCTGGGCCCTTTCACTTGAACCCTCCCTCCATTGCTTCATTCCCCCCCATTCCCCTGATTGCTTGCTCCCTCCCTCTTCCCTTCCTCCTCCTTTCCCTCCTTATCTCATCTGCTTACTCCCTTCCCTCCCGCCCTCCCTCCCTCATGGATCCCTTTCTCCCTGCTTGCCTACTCCCTCACTCCCTGTCTCACTAGCTTCCTCCCTCCCTCCCTCCCTGGCTTATTTACTCTCTGGGTCCTTCCCTCCCTTGCTCCTTCCGTCCCTCCACTGCTCTCTCCTTAGCTCAGTCTTTCTTTTTCTTCCTTGCTAGCTCCCTGGATTGCTCCATCTCTCCTTCCCTAGCCTATGGGACCTCTCTTACCCTCCACCTTTTGCTCCCATACTCCCTCCCTCCCTCCTTCCTTTTCTCCTTCCCTCCTTTCCTCTGGATGGCTCCCCCCTTACCCTTCTCCCTGGATCCCTACCTTTCCCTTCCTGCCTTTCCCCCTTTCTAGCCTGCTAACCCCTTCCTTCCTCTCTCACCTGATCTTTCCATTCTACTCTCCTTCCCTTAATCTTTCTCTCCTCCTCTTTCTCCATGGCCTACTTTCTCACCCATTTCTTGCTCCTCTCTTGCTCCCTCCTTTGCCTGCTTCCTCCCTTCATCTCCCACTTTCTCCCCGGATGGCTCTCCTTGTGGCTTGAAGAGACACCCTGTGCCTTAGCCACAGGGGTGTTAAGAACACAGCTGATAGTTTCCGGCCAACTGAAAGAGGAAGGGAGGGTGAAAGAGGAAGAGAGGGAAAGGGAGGGAAAGGCATTTGCACATTCTCTGCTTAGGCTCCTTCTGTGCCTATCTGCCTCAACTTCCTCTCTCTCACTACCTGGTACCTGGTGTTGCCCTCTTCGAACATCCTTACTCATTCCTTAACTGTCTAAGACACAAAGTACAGGCTCATTTTCTGTCTCTAGCTTCCCTTTCTGTGGCCTCCTTCACGCCCTCGCCCCAGAACAAGCCTTAGATTTACCATTTGTGGTTCTCAGAGGGCAGACCGCTGCTGTCAGGCCCTGTGCCTTATTATATTGCTTCTGGCACTGTATGAATCTGCCCCAGGAGGGTCCTCTCTCTGGTGGTGGTGCAGTCTGGGGACAGGCCTCTCTTTTCTTTTCTTTAGTTTTGTTTTTCTGATGAGCCACTCATATCACCCAGAAGCTGGCTCTTAGATCTACCCTGCTGTTTTATGCCGGGAAATGTGATTGCCTCCTGTCCTTCAGCCTTCCCCTCTTCCTTTCTAAGCAGAGAGGGGAGGGCTGTCTGCCTGGTTGTGACTGCATCTCCTGTCTATCTGTAGGAGCCCCGTCCACCTAGTATGGATGACTTCCTGTACGTGTGTGCTGATGTTTACTGTCGAGATGAGATGTACGCCATGGAAATCAGCATCCTGCAAGCTCTCAAATTTGACATCAACATTCCCGTGGCATATCATTTTCTGCGCAGATACGCAGTGGTAAGAATGAGGAAGCACGCCTTTACTCTGCCACTGCTGTGTCAGTCTCCTCTGCACCTGGAGCGGCGGCCTGAGCGGTGGGGAAGGGACAGCAGGGGCAGGTGGATGGCAGGCAGTCTCTGTGGCGCAGCGGGGCAAGCTGCGCACTTCCGTGCTGCGCCTGTGAGCGTTTCAGGTGCAGACAGAGTAGCGGGGGGAAGGATTCTCTGATCAGGAAAGGACACATGAGAAGTTTTGGGGGGATGCTGGCAATGTTCTCTTTCTTTGCCTGAATATTGGTTACAAGGGAGGTCACTTTACAATTATTCATTATATTATGTAAGTGTTTTATGTACTTTTCTCTTTGTGTTTTTCATAGGTTATGATCTTTTTTAAGAAAAGGGAAGGGGTTTTAGAGTAGAGAGCACCTCCTTGGGTAGAACCAGGTGCAAAATCACAGTTGGGGACTTTGGCTTTTCAAAGGATGACTCATACAGAAAGGGGAGGTGGGAGGGTACAGCAAACATACTTGATAATTTGGTTAAAAACCCTAAAGGTGGCAAATCCCACTGCCCATTTCAGAATCCCCCCTAAAGAGTCTGCTTTTACAGGTAGGGAATTTAATGTGAGTCATGGTGAGAAGACAGAGGTACATTACTCAAGCACAGAGTCATTTAGGCTTCGGCTGAGATAACTGGAGAGAGGGAGTCTTCTGCTTGGTGCCAGTTTTCTGAATTGCTTTCTGAGCCTGTCTTCTTGCTGCTTTTAGTGTATCCGTACCAGCATGAAGACCGTGACATTGTCCCGCTTCATCTGTGAGATGACCCTGCAGGAATATGACTATATCCAGGAGAGGGCTTCCAAGCTAGCCGCTGGCTCCTTCCTCCTGGCCCTCTACATGCAGAAGCTCCCACGTTGGGTAAGCACTTGCATGGGAATGGTAGGGATTTAAAAGCACAGGGTGGGCTCAGGGGAAAGGTATAAATTTGGGCCATGGGAAGCTCTCAGGGACAAAACTTCCATATGCTCACACTTATGAATTCCTCAACACCTGGACAATCTAAGGGCAAGAGTTTCTACATCAATGGTTTTAAAATATTTGATTCCATTTTTCTTACTCAAAGTACCCTTTGTTCCAAAACAAACAAACAAACAAAGCTCACCTAAAAGCCCAGTATTATAAAATAGACTGTAAAGTTATTTTGGTTGTCACAGGGGGTAGGGGTAGCCCATTTGATATCCCTGACCCTATTCCCCTCCTGACCCTTACAGTCCCGTCAGCAAAGTTTGTCCTTGAGGGAGCTCGTTGGAAAAGGATTTGGAAAGCACTGACCCTGGGCTGGGTGTGGTGGCTCATGCCTGTAATCCTAGCACTCTGGGGGGCCAAGGCAGGAGGATCCCTTGAGCTCAGGAGTTTGAGACTAGCCTCAGCAAGAGCAAGACCAGCCTGAGCAAGAGTGAGACCTCCGTCTCTACCAAAAAGTAGAAAAAAGTTAGCTGGGCGTGTCAGCGCATGCCTGTAGTTCCAGCTACTCAGGAGGCTGAGGCAGGAGGATCGCTTGAGACCAGGAGTTTGACGTTGCAGTGAGCTATGATGATGCCACCGTACTGTAGTCTGGGCAACAGAGCTGAGACCCTGTCTCAAAAAAAAAAAAAAAAAAAAAAGAAAAAGAAAAGAAAAAAAGAAAAAGAAAAGCAATGACCCAGAGAGTAGACAAGTAGACTAGAGAAAGCAGCCATCTGTGTATATAATAGGGCACTTAGAGGCACGACTATAGTGCTGGCCTCTGAAGAGGAAGGCCCCCAAAGCTTCATGCCCCAATATAAATAAAACTCAGATTTGATGTATTGTCAATTTTATGACAAGTTATGGGTAAAAGCCACTTTAGAGAACTTTGAATTCTTACTGATATGTGTAACATGTAATCCAAGTAGAAAGAGTATACATGCAAATGCAGCCCGCCTGCCCAACCACTCCTAAGCCCCTCCTACCTAGCAATCCTGGAACTACTACTGATGGGAGGAGTTCTGCATGCTCAGAAAGAATCCCTTAAGTAGTGTGTGAACTTGGACAAGTCATATTGAAATTTCTTGGAAAAGAGAAAGCATTCAATAGATGGTAGTGATGGTGAAAAAGAATAAGTAATAATGACTAGCATTTATTGAGTGCTTAGACAGTGATCTGAACACTTTATATATTAACTCATTTAATCTTCATAACAACCCTATAAGATCAGTACTGTTATTCCTATTTTACACATAAGAAATAACTTCCCATGTTTACACATCTTTTGGGAGGCGGAGCTAGGCTTTGGGAACCAGGAGTGGTGTCCATAGTCTAAACCTACTGTATAATCAGAATGGGTGTGGACATAGCTCTGGAGCTAAGGTTCTGGAGGCCTCATGCTGGGCCAGGCTTTGACCCTTGGATACTGCAGAAGTTTAGTAAGTCCTGCCAGGAACAATTGAGGGGTTTAGTGTAGCAAATTGTGTGCCAACTAGGATAGAAATATTTTGGTGTTTTAACACCTGGTGGCTAAACTAGTGTGTATCAGCTAAATGGCAGCCCTAATCTGAACCCAGGTAGTCTGGCTCCATAGTCCTCTGTGTGTTATATATACTGCCTCTCCTGTAGATAAGGAAGGCTTTGAAGAAGAGGTCACTTTTGAGCTGGGTCTTGAAAGATAAGTCAGAATTTGTGCATTCTAGGTCGAGGGAGCAATAATTAAAAAGACATGGAGCTGCTAAGGAAGGAGTGTGATGTGTTTGGGGCAGAATAAGACATCTCCTACAGATAGAGCATAGGGTACATTAATGGGAGAGATGCTAATGATGTTAATAGTGAGAGATGGGACCAGGAGGGTAGGTTGGGGTCAGATTGTGAGGGACCTTATTTGCCATGCTGAGAAACCCACTTTATACTAAAGCATTGAAAGTTTTTTAGGCAGGGCAGTGACATAATCCTGTTTGTGTGCTTTAGAAACAGTACTGGTATAGCAGTAAAGAAGGTATATTAGATAAGGGAGAATTTAAAGTTGGGAATACCAGTGAGTAGGTTATTGTAACAGTCGAGGTGAAACATTGAGGGCCTGAACTGACACAGTGGCGGTGGGACCACTTAATCTTATTTAACACACCAAATATATTGTGTTACCCCCGTGTGTTATTCCTCTGCACACCAGTGACTGCCTTTTGCCTGTGGTAGTGGTTTCCAAATAGTGTTCATAGGAGCCCTGGGTTTCCTGCAGAAATATCTTGGGGCCATGTAAAATGTAAAAGGATTCAAATTGGTGGGCTTATTAGCCCCTGCCCCCGCCACACTTCTAGGTAAGATATTTGGGCTTCCAGATAATACACTTGAAAAAAAAAAGGAGTTCAGAGAAAATAATTTAAGACATTTTTAGGAAACCACTGGTTTAGAGAATAAATCCTCTTCCTTTCTCTGCCTGTTGAGCTCCCACTTGACTTTTGCCACTCATTGCAGACATGCCCTTCTCTGTGAAGCTTTCTGTGACCCTCCTGGACAGAGTTTGTGGGTCCTGATGCTCTGTTTCTCCAGTATTCCATGCTCACTTTAATCATAGCACTTATCACACATTTTGAAACTCTATGTTTGCATGTCTGTCTCCTCCACTAGACTAGTCCTTGAGCAGGTGCCCCATTCATCTTTGTATTCGCAGCATCCTACATAGAGCTTGGCAATATTGATCCTAGCTAACATCATTTGGACTCTTACTATGTGCTAGACTCTGTTCTATGTGAGAGAGATATATATATACACACACACAAATACATACACACTCTTAATCCTATGATGTAATTACTGTAATGATATCATTTGGCAGATTGAGAAACTGAGGCCCCAAGAGGTTAAATAACTGGCTCAAGGCCATGCTGTTAGTGAAGCTAGAATTTGAACTGAAGCAATCTGCCTCCAGAACTTTTGTTCTTAAACACTGATATACTGCTTCTGCCACATAATAGGCATTCTTAAAGTTCAGTGTGAAAACGAATGTATAGAATGATAGCTGTTAGAGCCAGAGAGGAGGAACAACAGCCTTAAGTTCCTGTTGGCTATTGAGCTTGGACTTAAAGTTTGTTCTGGGGTTTTCCTGGCCATTGGATCTGAACCTGAGAGACAGTAAATTACAAAATCAGTCCTGTTCCTTAGGACTTTGGTGAATTTCAACTTACACAAACACGTGTAACCAGGGCTAATCTCTAACTGGTATGTGTGGATATAGCCATCGCAGTAGTTTGTGGCTGGAACCCATTCTTCTTGATAGTATCCTATAATTATTGGTCAATGTCTATATTATATGAGTCTTTGAAAAGTTTTGAATATCATCCCTGTCTAAACCATGGATGGGAAGTTTGGACTTCAGATAGCAGAGATGGAGAAGAGTATGCTTCCTGTAGCAGAAATCACTGTTCACACTGCTTCTTCCAGATTCCTACCCTGGAGTATTACAGTGGCTACAAGGCCTCTGAGCTTCACCCATTGGTCAGGCGGCTGAACATCCTGCTGACTGTGTGTTCTCGTGGTGGGCTCAACACTGTGTATTCCAAGTATTCTCACCCGTAAGTACCAAGCCCTGGCTGAGGTTGGGTTTATGCTCATTTATGGGGAAGCTTTAAAACACTAGGCCTAGACTAGCCTTATTTAAGACAAAAGGATTTAGACAATTTTCACCTTCTTTTCTACTCTAAGCAAGATAGGGAACCAAGGGCCCTGTGTCCTACTTGTTTTATGCAGCCTGTTTGGCTTTGGCCTATTTTACACTGAGCAGACCCCCCTTCCTTTCACAGGGTCTTCTTTGAAGTTGCCAAAGTACCGCCTGTGGACATATTGAAGCTGGAGAAGATATTGGACCGCTAATTATGAGGCTGAGGGCCTGGCATTCTGGCAGCAGTCACAGGGCCAGGCAGGCATGTTAATAGCCTATATTTATTCTGTGCTTGAATTTGTCTTTTGGTCACTTTTCTTCATCTTCCTATTTTGTTTGTCTGTTCCCAAACTGATAATGTTGTAAATATTTAAGTTGTGTTTTTTTTTAATGAAAGAGAAAAAATTGTCATATTTGAAATTTAATAAAAGAAATTAATGATCGTTAAAACGGCTCACGTCCCCTCTTTTTGCTCAGGATCCCCATGCATAACCCAGGAATTTTTTTTCTTCCTAGTAAGGGCTTTGCCCTAGGTTCTAGCTTATCCAATGTCATCTTCTGTTTGGATGGCTTCTCCTCATGGGAAGAGAAATTGAGCTAAGTGTGAACTGATAGATGGGTCTATAGAAGGAGTATTCTGGGTGGTGGTACCCAGTCCAAGGAGAAAGCCCCTACCCGACAGGCAGGCCTCACTGTTCAGAGCTGGTGCAACTGGTAGTGTAGGCTAATCCCCTTCGGTCTAATCCCAGGTTGCTTTCTTTGCTTCTTCCTAGATGATGAAAAGGTGGGGATCCAGATTTTAACCCAAATGTAGCCCTACTTTGGTAGTTAGGTGGCTTTCTAGAATCTAAATTTGAAAAAATGCTTAGAGTAATGTGCTGGAATCATCATTTTTGGCCCTTGTCTTCTGCCAAGAGAAGAAATTTCTACCTGTCAAATAAGCAAGATGTCCCACAATGCAATCATCAACCACTTGCCTGATCTTTAATTCATACTGCCTTAAGAGGTTCTGCTCTTTCTCTCTCTATCCTAACTTTAGGGGGATATTGTACTGGGACAGTTTATTTACATTGTTAGCAGAGGAGCTGAACATCCTCTATGCTACTGCCTCAGTCCTACCTCTAGGACCTCTCCGTAATCCAGCAAGTAATGTCTGCCACAGTAGGGGACTTGCAGGATTTTACTCTAGTACTGTGGCTGGCAACAGTTCTGGTTGGTCTGGGGGCCTGTGTTACCACTTGTCAAATATTTTCAATATCAATCCTAGGTTGGACATCTGTGGAGGGGACAGTCAGTGAAGAAGTTATGGGAAAATGCCTCTCCCCTTCCTTCTCCCAACTTGCTTTGACTTGGAGACCAGACATCATCAGGTTCTGTCCTATCCCATTCTACTACGTTGCAAGATGACAAAAGGGTACAGCCAGAGAGGTCCAAGCTGCTTGGCAGTGATTCTGCTGACATAGCCAACTTTGTGTAAATGTGCTAAAAGCACTGGACTGGAAGCCACTTTGCAAAATCACCAGCCTCACTAAAAAGGAGTGTCTTGAGCCACTTTTTAATTTTGGAACTTCAAATCAGGAGAAAAAATTATTAACTAGTTGAATTATTTTCCCCCTTTTGTCTAGCCCTGTTCTTTAGAGGTGCTAATGAAACCATCAATCATTTTTGTTGTTGTCATTGCAAATGCCTCAAAATTTATTTTATATTCATCACTACTTCAAAATTAAGGTAGCTATTTGAACTACATTTTGTTATTTAGTGCCTTATGAAGCACATTTATTTGTCAAGAATTTGCTTTTATATTTTGATGACTCTAGTTCATTATGACTGGCTTTCCTTATAACCTTATGTATTTTTAACAGTTTTATTAAGATATAATTCACATACCATGCAATTCACCCATTTAAAGTATGTAATTTAATGGTTTTTAGTAGATTCACAGAGGTTTGCAACCATCACCATAATCGAATTTGGAACATTTTCATCACCTCAAAAAAGAAAGCCCAAACCCACTAGCAGTCAATCTCCATCCCCTCTACCTCTGTGAGCCCTAGGCAACCACTAATTTACTTTCTATCTCTATAGATATGCCTATTCCAGACATTTCGTATAAATTAAATCAAATCATATAATGTGTTGCTCTGTTTGGCTTCTTTCACTTAGCATAATGTTTTCAAGGGTCATCTATATTGTAGTTTCTATCAGTACTTCATTTTCTGTTATTGCCGAATAATATTCCATTGTATGAATATACATACATTTTGTTTATCCAATCATAAGTTGGTGGAAATTTGGGTTATTTCTACTTTTTGGCTATCAGGAATAATTCTGTTATGAACATTCATGTGTAAGTGTTTGTGTAGACATCTGTTTTCATTTCTCTTGGGTATATACTTAAGAGTGGAATTGCTGGATCATATGTTAACTATGCTTAACCATTTGAGTAACTGTTGGGTTGTTTTCCAAAGTGGCTGCACCATTTTACATTACCATAAGCAGTGTTTGAGGGTTCTAATTTCTCTACATCCTCTCCAACACTTGTTATTATCTTTGTTTTTGATTATAGCCATCTTAGTGGGTGTGAAGTGGTATCTTATGGTGGTTTTGATTTGTACTTCCTTACAAACATATTTACCTCTGCACCTATGTCAAGTATCTTTATTTCCTGTCTTAAAGGATTGACTGACCCACCTCCTGTCCAAGGTAATTCATCTACCTTGGGATTTTTATTTATTTATTTATTTAATTTATTTCTGCATATTATGGGGGTACAAATGTTTAGATTATGTTGCCCTTGTGCCCCCTTCCCCCCCAGTCAGAGCTTCAAGTGTGTCCATCCCCCAGGTGGTGCTCATCGCACTCATTATGTATGTATATACCCATCCCCTCCTCCCCCCTCCCATCTGCCCGACACCTGATGAATGTCATTCCTATATGTGCACTTAGGTGTTGATCAGTGAAACCAATTTGATGGTGAGTACATGTGGTGCTTGTTTTTCCATTTTTGGGATACTTCACTTAGTAGAATATGTTCCAGCTCTATCCAGGAGTATACAAGTGGTGCTATATCACCATTGTTTCTTATAGCTGAATAGTACTCCATGGTATACATATACCACATTTTATTAATCCACTCATGTATTGATGGACACTTGGGTTGTTTCCACATCTTTGCAATTGTGAATTGTGCTGCTATAAACATTCGGGTGCAGGTGTCTTTTTCATAGAATGTCTTTTGTTCTTTTGGGTAGATGCCCAGTAATGGGATTGCTGGATCGAATGGTAGATCTACTTGTATCTCTTTAAGGTATCTCCATATTGCTTTCCACAGAGGTTGCACTAGTTTGCAGTCCCACCAGCAGTGTATGAGTGTTCCTGTCTCTCCACATCCATGCCAACATTTATTCTTTGAGGACTTTTTGACAAAGGCCATTCTCACTGGGGATAAGTGATATCTCTTTGTGGTTTTGATTTGCATTTCCCCGATGATTACAGATGTTGAGCACTTTTTCATATGTTTCTTGGCCATTATTCTGTCTTCTTTTGAAAAGTTTCTGTTCATGTCCTTTGCCTACTTTTTGATAGGGTTGTTTGACTTTTTCTTGTTGATTTTCCTGAGTTCTATATAGATTCTAGTTATCAGCCATTTATCAGATGTGTAGCATGCTAAAATTTTCTCCCATTCTGTAGGTTGTCTGTTTGCTCTCGTGACAGTTTCTTTGGCTGTGCAGAGGCTTTTTAATTTTATCAGGTCCCATTTATTTATTTTTGTTGTTGCCGTGATTGCTTTTCGGGTCTTCTTCATAAATTCCTTGCTTAGGCCAATGTCTAGAAGAGTTTTTCCAACATTTTCTTCTAGAATTCTTATAGTTTCACACCTTAGGTTTAAGTCTGTTACCCACCGTGAGTTGACTTTTGTGAGAGGTGAAAGATGTGGATCCTGTTTCAGTCTTCTACATGTAGCTATCCAGTTTTCCCAGCACCGTTTATTGAATAAGGATTCTTTTCCCCAGTGTATGTTTTTGTCTGCTTTGTCAAAGATTAGATGGCTATATGAGGATGGTTTTATATCTGGGTTCTCAGTTCTGTTCCACTGGTCAATGTCCCTGTTCTTGTGCCAGTACCAAGCTTTTTTCATTACTATAGCCTTGTAGTATAGTTTGAAGTTTGGTAAATTGATACCTCCCATTTTGTTTTTATTGCCTAGGATTGCTTTTGCTATATGGGGTGTTCTCTGGTTCCATATGAAGTGTAAAATTATTTTTTCTATATCTATGGAAAATGATGTTGGTATTTTAATAGGGATTGCATTGAATGTGTAGATCACTTTGGGTAGTATAGACATTTTAACAATGTTGATTCTGCTGACCCATGAGCATGGTATGGTTTTCCACCTGTTTACGTCCTCTGCTATTTCCTTCCTCAATGTTTCATAGTTCTCCCTGTAGAGGTCTTTTACCTCCTTAGTTAAATATATTCCTAGGTACTTTATTTTCTTTGTTGCTATTGTGAAGGGTATTGAGTCTTTGATTTGATTTTTGGCTTGACGGTTATTGGCGTATATGAATTCCTCTGATTTGTGTGTATTGATTTTGTATCCTGAGACTTTACTGAATTTATTTATCAATTCCAGGAGTCTCTTGGTTGATTCCTTGAGGTTTTCTAGATATAATATCATATCATCAGCATAGAGTCAGAGTTTTATCTCTTCTGCCCCCATTTGGACGCCCTGAATTCTGCTCTCTTGTCTAATTGCTGTAGCGAGGACTTCCAGCACTACGTTGAATAGAAGTGGAGATAGTGGGCAACCTTGCCTGGTTCCAGTTCTAAGTGAGAATGCTTTCAATTTTTCCCCATTCAGTATGATGTTGGCTGTGGGTTTGTCATATATGGCTTGTATCATTTTTATGTAAGCTCTGTCTATGCCTATTTTGTTAAGCGTTCTTATCATAAAAGGGTGTTGAATTTTGTCAAATGCTTTTTCTGTGTCTATTGAGAGGATCATATGGTCTTTGTTTTTGCTTCTATTTATATGGTGAATTACATTTATAAATTGGGATTTTAATCCATCAATTCTCCTCATTCTTCTCAGCCCTTTTCCTGCTTTTCCCTGCCACCATTTCCTATACTTTCATTCTCTTCCTCTTTTCTAGTCTCTTCTTCTAGTTTAAAAACATGCTCAAGACTGTCTTGCCATACCCACACAGAATGA